CACACACACACACACACACACACACACACACACACACAATACAAGTATACAATATACAAAATATCTGTGTCTCCTGGGGGCTAAGCCCCCCTTGTCCTTAAAACCTAGTGACACCCCTGGCTGAAGCAGGACCTGAATCAGTTTTTGCAGAAACCGTTGTAGAGGAAATGTTTGTTCAGTCCTGGTCCTGGTCCTGGTTCTGGATGTTTCTCTGCTTTGACACACCTGATGAGCCATTAAACGTTGAAGGATGTGTAGACCTGCTGAAGAGCAGGACCCGGGTTGGGATCTGGTCTACAGGACTGAGGTCTGGAGGTCTGGTCAGGATGTCCTCCAGCTGCTCCTTTGTTGCTTTGATGAGATGTTTTGGGTCATTGTGGTCCAGGATGGCCGGTCTTCAGAGTTCTGTTTGAAGACAGAGGACAGTATGTGGGTCTGTCCCAGACCATAATGTTTCCACCTCCGTGCTCGGCTGTGTGGACGGAGTTCTTTACTCAGCATTAGTTTTTCCTGAAATAGTATTATTTGTTGAAAATTCCACGACTGATTGGATTTTTTTTACGTACCACAAATACTTTCACACCACGTGACATGAAGACATGTTCCACATCCTGAGGAGTTTATGAGAAACGAATAGAAGCAATAAAGTTATATAAAATAAAATAAACTTTATTCAAAGTACGAGATGTTTAAAAGTCTGAGATAAATGGTAATTGAAAAAAGTTTAACCAACAAACCTTGTTTAGACCTTTAAGACCTGTTGGTGTCGAGGTTACCTGTCAGGTCTATTTCTGTCCTGACCTTTGACCTTTAGACAGTTAATGGATCAGTTTTTGTTCCCGCAGAGCTGAGAAACGTCTCGTTAATTAATCTGCCCGTCACCAGTGGTTTTACAGCTGGGTCAGGTTTGTAGTGCGGGGCGGGAACTGTCGGTGTGGCCTCGTTTCCCGGGTGGCACCAGCTTCTTATTTCTCACACCGAGCCTTGGATTTTCACAGCTTGTGACATCAGTGAAGAAGATGATGAACAGAGGGCAGAGCTCAGCCTGGATTCAGAATAAAGAAACAAGAAATCATTTCTGTCAAATGGATCTAATTGTTAAAAATAAGGAAATGATACACAATACGATATTACCATGATTCGATATTATCACAATACAATATTATTATACCATATTATTATACCATATCAAGATACGATATTATCAAGATATGATATTATCACGATATGATATTATCACAATACGATATTATCACAATACGATATTATACGATATTATCACAATACTATATTATACGATATTATCACAATACGATATTATACGATATTATCACAATACGATATTATCATACCATATTATTATACCATATCATGATACGATATTATCATGTTACGATATTATCACAATACAGTATTATCACAATACAATATTATTTTACCATAACAAGATACCACATAATCATGATACTATATTATCACACCATATTATTATACCATATCACGATACGATATTATCACAATACGATATTATACTATATTATCACAATACGATATTATACTATATTATCACAATACGATATTTTCACAATACAATATTATTATACCATATTATCGAGATACCACATTATGATACTGTACTATCACACCATATTATTGTACCATATCAAGATACAATATTATCACGATACGAGATTATCGTGATACAATATCACAATACGATATTATCTTGATATGATATTATACCATATTATCAAGATACCGTATTATCGTGATACTATATTATCACACCATATAATACCATATCATGATACGATATCACGATACACTATTATCACAATACAAAATTATCACAATACGATATCAAGATACGATATTATCACGATACAATATCATCACAATAGGATATCATGATACGATATTATCACAATACGATATTATACTATATCATCACAATACAATATTTTCACAAAACAATATTATATAATATTATCACAATATAATATTATCACGATACCGTATTATCACAATATGATATTGTCACAATACAATATTATCACGATACCATACTGTATTATCACAATATGATATCACGATATGATATGTCACAATACGATATTATCACAATACAATATTCTCACAATACGATATCACGATACGATATTGTCACAATACAATATTATTATACCATATTATCACGACACCATATTATACCATATTATCACAATACGATATTGTCACAATATGATATTATCACGATACGATATTATCACAATACAATATTATTATACTATATTATCATGATACCATATCATGACGATACAATATTATATGATACCATTATATGGTATTATATGATACCATATCACCATGAAATGATATTATCACAATACCACATTAGTTGTGATACGATTTAAATCATTTCATTCAAAAGTTTGTAATTGAAATGCTGTTGATCCACATCAGGCATGATGATGACATGGATCAATGTTTTCATTTTGTCTCACTGTAATTAAATCATTAATCATTTAATCGATATATCAATAGATCAATGTATCGTTACACCCCTACAAAATAAGAGAGTTGAATGTAAATGTTTGTAACTATTTATTTAGATTATTCATCATGTTTCTCCACTGATTAACCTTAAATCAGAGATGCTGTGACAGAAGCTTATTCTAACATTGATCCTGCATCAATAATAAAGTTAGAAATTTTCGTTTTAGTTGTGTTGAAACTTTGGTTTTGTTTCGATGTGAAACAGAGGAACCTGAAACAAACTTTACAGATTTGAACTTCCTGCTTTAATAACTCACCTGGTAATCCTTGTTTCAAGAGAAATTGTTAGTTATTGCTGTTTAAAAACAAGATGTCCTTTTAGTTGAACATGATCAAAAGCTGTTTAAATCAAATAAAAGTTGAGTTTAGTAAGCTGTAAATAAACCAGAAGGGTTCATTGAGAAATCTGAAGGAGTATGTTGTGTCCTCTCGTCACTGTTTCCTGTTTTGGTTTGTATAAATTGAACTTTATTGGAGGAGAATGACTTGAAGTCTCCTGGCAGCTTGTTGCCTGCTGCTCTGCCTCATTAATATCCTCCCATTGATCAGCAGAAAGCGCTGCAGGTCTCAGAGTTTTGGCTCCGGCTCATTCGCTCCTTCATTGAGCTGTTTTCTACAACTCTTCATTGATTCGTTCCTCTTCGTGTTTTATAGCATGGCTTCGGTTCTGGACGTGCCAGATTCTCTGCAGGTCGCTCTGAGGATCTTTCCTGGAAGTGTTGGCCTACAAGGGTTTACAGAAAGCTGCTGAAGCCTGTAAAACATGTACTGTCCTTCCTCTTCCTCCTTGTTTGGAGTTCTTGTTCAGTTAGTAATTGTATTTATCTGCTGATTTCTGTGAGCCACACCAACACTTTGACATGTTTTGATTTTGTAATTGGGGTTTTGTTCTGCTGTTTGAACCACCGCCTTCAGAAGTAAACGGCCAGATCGTGTTTGATGCAGAAGCTGCACCACACCCTGTCTGGTGTGTTCAGGCAGCGTGTTCTTACATTTGTAAAACCAGACTTTGCTCCACCGTGCCCATTTCACCGCTGCAGGGGTCGTTACACTGGTTACTTTTTGTTTTAATTACCATCACAGCTTTGCACAGATTTATTTGCACATCAGGCATTTTTTTTAAGCTCTGATGTGTTGTGATTTGCCCCAAAAGTCTGAAAACAGCCTCTCCAATGCTAATACCAGCTAATCCATGCTAGTCGCTAGCCCCTCTGATGCTAATACCAGCTTATCCATGCTAGTCACTAGCCTCACCGATGCTAAAGCCAGCTTATCCATGCTAGTGGCTAGTCTCTCTGATGCTAATACCAACTTATCCATGCTAGTGGCTAGCCTCTCCAATGCATCAATCACCATAGGGTTCAAGGATCTGTGAATCTTGTTCATGAACACTGACAGGTCAGAGCCAGAGACCGATCAACTGTTGGGTTTCTATCCACAGAAATGAGGCATTACAGCACTGAAAGCTCYGGAACTACTGGTCCAGTTAAGGTTCTCCCCTCATCTATAGTCCTGAGGTGGATCAGGATCACAAGAACAAGATTCTGGAGCCACCAAAGCTGGGACCAGCCTTAGAGATAGGGTGCAGAGGGAACTCTGAGCCAGCTAAGGTGGTTCAGACCTCATTAATCCTGGACACGTTCCTTCAGGTACATCTCACAGGCAGATCCAGAACTGGAACATAGATCATCTTCACACACCTTCAGATCCTCCATTAGAAGCTGGAGACTGTTTCTGGGGAGACGGGGGGTCAGGGTTTCTTTCCTAGACCTGTTGTGTTTGTGACCCCAACCACAGAGAAGCCTCTAATTCTGCTTTCCTCAAAGCTTCTGACAGGATGAACTCAGTTAACAGAGGAACCGTTTGGGTGGTAGTAGCTGAGAGTCATCCCAACAAACTTACCTTCAAGGAATTCTTTCATTAAAGATTTAGCTGAAGTAATTGTGTAAAAAAACTGTTCCCACCAACTCAGGCAGATTAATTTGCATTTTTACGTCTCTAAACGCAGACGGTTTCTGGCTCGTGTTCAGCTCTTGTTGATGTCTTCAGGCCGACTTCAGAACATTTTTACTTTGTCAAAATGACACCAAAACATTCGTCTTTTTTATTGGCGTCACATGAAAATGTGCTTGTGAAATTTCTGGTTCCATTCCTGCAGATCATTCTGGACTTTTAGTGAGAACTGACAACAGATGAGCTGTGTTCAGTTTTTAAAAGTGCTGATGGAAACAGAGCTGACAGCTCATCAAGCCTCAGTTTTGTTTCGTTTCATTTCTTTAAGCATCTTACTGAAATATAACATCTGTGWTTGTTGTCCTGCTGACCAGAATCTGACTTTTCTTTTCTCTTCTTCTCTCTGATTGGTTGTTTCAGAGCATCAGCCAGATGTCCTCTTCGTCAGTCTTCAGCCCGGGTCCCAGTCCCACCAAGACTCCAGACCTGCTGATCGATGACAACGAGGTAAGAACACACAAAMCCAGCTCTCCGATTGGTCAACGATGGACAAATGTCCAACATTCGTGCACAAACAAAAGCCTCCTCAGTTCGTTCACTTTCACTTTCATTCCCACGGCAGAAGTAAGAGTTTCAACCAAACTGGAGCTGAAGACAAAAAGAGTCTGATGCCAGCGTGAGCGCAGCTACAAGTTCAAACTCCTCCAACAGACGCGAAAACTTAATGAGAACATCAGAGTCCTGCAGGCACATGAGTCCACAGCTTGTTCTGACAGGCCGGCGGACGCCGCTCTCTCTAAATACAGAGAAATCACCAAAGTTCATCAGAAGATCCAGGACCTGTCAGAAGGTCTGGATCTCTGCTGGAGTTCAGTCCAATAAAAAATGTGATAAAAACTGTTTCTACTCATGCCACGCCCATGAAACTAACGAGTTAACCGTTAGCCAGGGTTAGCGTACATTCCTCAGGTAAAGCTGGTTCAGTTTGGCACCAAATCTCGTCCAACCTGTAAAAATGTTGAAGGTTCTTGTAAAAAGTAGCAGCTTGGTTACAAACTGTTATCGTTACAAGTGTGAGAAGAAGAAAGGAGCTCTGAAGCCTCTTTAGTACCAACAGGATGGAGGTTTAATAAAACCCAAAGAAACCTGCAGCTCAACTGGAAACAGTTTACTCTGACATTTAACATCCGAACCAGAACCAGATCCCAGATCCTGGAGGTCCAGATGAGTTTTCTCTGTCAGAGATCAGCTGAGAGGTTCAGTTCTCYAGGAGACACTCTGAGTAGGAACCAGCTGAGGTGGTTCATCTGGACAGGATGGACCTAGGACGCCTCCTGAAGGAGTTGTTCTGGACATGTCCTACTGGGAGACCCCTGGAAAGACACTGGACACTCTAGACCATGGGTTCTCAAACATTTTGGGTCTGGGGTCCCCTTACAAGGGCAAAAAATTCCAGGGACCCCCTCGTAAAACTTTTTTTAAGTGGTAAATGATCATTTCAACCCCTAAATGCCATCGGAATATATTTTTATTTAGTTTATTATGTTTGTTTTAAGCGTTCATTGTTCCCCACGCATTTTTAAAAGATAAAATCCAAATTAACAATTTAATAAAAAATTTTGAGGACCCCCAAGATGCCTCTCGCGGACCCCTGGGGGTTCTGGGGCCCCAGTTTGAGAACCTCTGCTCTAGATTCTAGAGAGACACTCAGCTGGTCTGGAACGTCTCACACCAGTGTGAGTGACAGCAGACAGTTGTGAACAGTGAAAAGAGTAGAAAGTTCTCTGGTCACAAACAAATCTATCATTTCATCAGTTGAAATCATTCAAACTTTGATTTATTTATGAGATATTTTCAGGGTTCCTGCAGATTAAGTCTCCAAAATAAACAAACTTAAAATGTCTTAAAWCAACCCTTCAGAGGTCTTAAAAACTGTAACACATTGTAAGTAGGATGATTGTAATTAGAGATGCACCGATATGAATATTACAGCTGATATCGATATCCGATAGTATTGCTATTATGGCCGATAACCGATATTTAACGATATTACATAAACACACAGAATAAATTATTTATACACATATACGCACAATTAATTTTATTAATTTGAAGCGGCATTAAAAAGTCTTACAAAGTCTTTAATTTAATTTGAAGCGGCATTAAAAAGTCTTAAAAAGTCTTTAATTTAATTTGAAGCGGCATTAAAAAGTCTTAAAAAGTCTTAAATTTAACTGGCCTTAAGCTGTAGGAACCCTGATTTTACAAGTCATGTAAGAAGCTCATAAAAATGTTAAATATTCCAATATTCAATCAAAATTTGTCTAAAGAAAGAGTCACTATAACCTGAAGGGAGTTTTTTTTTAACCTCTGTTTGGAAGCAGTGTGAAGGAGCGCTGCTGTGATTCAGTTTGTGGATTTGTCTTGATGTTAATATAAAACCTTCTACAACAATAAAAATCTTAAAAACACTACTAAATTAAATTTATTGGGGAAAGTTTGATGCTMTGTAGCATTTAGTGGAGATTTCATAAGATTCCTGATGTTATTTTTGTTTTTATCAAATTTGGAGGTTCAAGTTTAGGTTGTTTGTTTGAAATAATTTTTAAAGAAGTGACAGATATAAGATTTATTCTTATTTCTGCACCCTTTTTACTCAGTAATTATATACTAAAAATACATTCTTTCATGTTTTACAGAATGTACAAAACTTACAAACTGAATTTTCACAGGAGCTCTGACAAACATTTGAGGGCTGAGAGGCAAAAACACTGCTGGARTGTTAGAACAGGACTTTTAACCTGCCAGGTGTTTCCCTGGGAGCCAACAGCAGCCAATAATCTGCAGTCAGGTTCTGATGGCAGCCAATCAGTCAGCAGAGACTCAACAAGACCAACCAGAGCATTAAAACAATGATTAAATAATAAAAATAATAATAATAATAATAATAATAATAATGTTGCATATTTTTAAACACGGTCCAAATTCAGCTGAAACTGTTATGATATCATAATATGATGATATAATGATACAATAATATCACAACATATTATTACAATATGATATTGTGATACGATATTATCATACAATATTATCACAATACAATATTATTATGATACAATATTATCATGATATGATATATTACCATAACATGATATTATCACGATACGATATTATCACAATACAATATTATTATGATACAATATTATCATGATATGATATATTACCATAACATGATATTATCACGAT